AGGATGATGTTGTTTATGCTTAGTAAGTGTTCTTGTTTTCGTTTGGAGTTGCTCAAGATCTGTTTGAGTCCAATGTATAACTCCAAAAGAGTATGTGAGTACTGGGATGACATATGTGTTTATTGCTTTAACTGTGTGTTTTGCATTTAACTGTGTTCTGAGGATATCATTTAACCTACTTTGGTATTCTTTAATTAATCTTTGCTGTATTTGTGTATGTTCTGTTAGTTTACCTTGTAGAACTCACCCTCTTCCATGGATTCAATAACGTCTCCATTTCCAAGTGCAAAATCTTATTTCTTCAGGATTCCTTTTTCTATGTGAAGTGTTTTACATTTATCTAGACCAAACTCCAGTTGTATGTCCTTGGTGTATGAATGTGTGATTTGTAGGAGGTGATGAAGTTGTTTCTGTGTAGATGCATAAAGTTTTATGTCGTCCATGTACATGAGATGTGACAGCAAAAACTGTGTTGTTTTTCTCATGTCTGATATTGTAGCCATATTGCGTGTTGTTTAATTGTTGGATAATGGGTTCAGGTCTAGGCAGAACCAGAGAGGACTCAAGGAATCTCCTTGAAAAATTCCTCACCTAATGAATATTTGGTTTGTTTGTATGGAGTGTTACTAACCCTGAGATGTAGTGTTGTTCTCCAGTGCTGCATAGTGTTTTCGAAGAATGCAATGAGTGATGGATGTATTTTGTACATGTGTAGAATATGTAGCAGCCAACTGTGTGTAACACTGTCGAATGCTTTTCTGTAGTCTATATATGTCATGTGTATGTTTCTGTGTTGTTTGTGTGCTTGTCGTAAAATGACTGAATCTATGAGTAACTGTTCTTTGCATCCCCTGTGATTTCTACGGCAACCTTTTTGTTGTTCTGTAAGAATGTCGTGTTCTTCAACATGTTTGTATATTTTGTTTGTGATACAGGATGTCAATAATTTGTAGAGTGTTGGAAGACATGTAATTGGTCTGTATTGTGTGGGGTCTGTGGTTTTGTTGTTTTTAGGTTTCATGTAGGTAATGCCCCGAGTAAGAAATTTTGGCATGTCTTGTGGATTGATGATGATGTGTGTTAGATGTTTAGCTAGTTCCTGGTGCAGTGATGTAAACTTTTTGTACCAGAAATTGTGAATGTTGTCTACACCAGGTGTCTTCCAGTTGTGTGTTCTGTTAACAGCGTAGCGAATGTCGTGTATGTTTATTTCAGCACAGGGCATAGTTGGTATGTTATGCAAGTTTCTGTTCTCCTCCTTGATCCAGCCTGCATCAGCATTGTGTGTAACAGCATTGGACCAAAGAGAAGACCAATAAGTTGTGAGTTCTTCTTCTGTTGGTGTGCCACTGTGCTGTGTATCAGTGTTTGTTTTGGTACTGATTTGTCTGTAGAAAAGTTTTTCATTGTTTGTGAATAATTTATTTTGTTGTTTTCGTAGTGTACATGTTTTGTATCGTTTGAGTCTACGTGCTTTGGCTGCGAGTTTTTGTTTTAGTGTATCGATGTATTCTGTAATGTGTGTGTTGTGATGTTCATGTTTTGTGTGTGTTTTGATTTTCTTGAAAATGTTTTTGAGTTGTTTCTTTAATTTGGGTGTTATGTTGTTTTTAGTGTATTGTGTCAGCCTGCCTAATTGCTGTCTAATGTCATTTATTTGTGTTTCTATTCTTCTCTGCCAGGCAGGCTTATGATAGAATTGTGTTTTGTGTGTGTCTGTCTGTGAGTGTATTTTCAGTCCATGGTGTGTTACTACTGTGACTGCCCCAGCATAAACTAATGTATGAATGTCTGTAAGTGTAGAAATTGAATGAATGTAGTTTGGTAGTAAGTGAGTGTTTACATAATCTAGTGTTTTTCCTACTGCCTTTGACGTGTTGATTTTTGGTATTCGTGGTCTTTGTGTGGGATCTGTACCAGTATATTTAATGAGTGTTTCCTGAAATATAAGTGAGAGCGTATTAACTAATTCTATGTCTACGTTATCAGTGATGGATGGGGAAGTGCCTGCAGTATCATTAGTGGTACTTGTTGTGTGTGTGCTGTAATCAGTGCTTGTTGCTGGATTATCCTGACAGGTTACGTGATCTTCATTAATGTTAAATGTTTCTGTCTGTTGATGTATTTGATCAGCAACCTGTTGTTTGATAAGTTCAAGTGTTGTTTGTGGGATAAGGTTGTTGTGTATAATTGTTCGTTTTTGATCAACAACCCTTTGTTCGGTGACAGTGAGGTGAGGATATTGTTGTGTGAATATGTGGTGTAGTTGTTGTCTGTATGCTGTCATGTTTGTTTCGAGTCTTGTGATGGTGTAGTAAGTGCGGATGATAAACTCGTTCATTTCTGATGTCCATTTCATCCGTTGGCGTGGTTTTCCAGCCTTTGTGGTCTGTGGATGCATTGCCACAGAAACACCAAGGCTAGGTTGATTCCTCACATCTGTTGAGGGCATTGCAGTAGCCAAGCCATGTTTTGTCAATGCTGCTTTCGCCACCAGTAACCAAGGAAAACTGTGGCCTATTTTTCGAACGTGAGCCTCTGTGTAACCCACGAACACGGACCTTGTTAACCCGGGCAACGTCCGAGCTGGTATCACACTTTGATCTGGTTACTACCATGATGAATAACTCCTCAGAATGTGGCTGTGGTCACTCTTAGCTTCATTTCTCCCCACAGACCTTACTGGCATGGGTATCCCTACCAGGAGCTTGTGCTCCAGCCTGCATTGCCCTATGGATCAGTAAAATTACTCGGCTCTCCCACCATGACCAGGTGGTGACCATGGGAGAGATTTATTATTATTATTATTTTTTTTTTTATCTAAAAGTTCTAGCTTACAGTGCATAAAATGGTTCAATAAAAAGAAAATTAAAGGTTTTCAGACTCTTGCATTATCCCGATTTAAATCCTATAGAAAATCTGTGGAGATTGCTCTCTCCAAATGCTTATAACAATACAAGGCAATTTACAACAATACAAGAACTGCAGATGGCAATTATCAATGCCTGGACAGAAATATCTAAGAGTATATTAAAATATTATTTGATTCAATACCAAATTGAATCTTTGAATTAATATGTGCAAAAAACTCACAAAATTTTAAACAGTAATTTTTTATTTTGATTTATAGTATGAGCTTATCTGTTTTTTGGCATGCTATTTTTTTATTTTTTTAAGAAAAATAAATATCTTTACATTAGAAGTTTGAAAATGTTATATTCTTGTAAATTTTGCGTTACAGTAATACCCCGAACTTACGCGATAGGTGGGACCGAGCGATAACCGCGTAAGTCGGGGTATAATTTCGCAATTTGTGTAAAATCCAAGTCGGATGTATGTAAGCCCATAAATGTTCTCGTTAATCTTACATCGTCTTTTGATTCGCTCGCGGTTACAAGAAATCACTACATAGAGTTTCTCAAGTCTCTGTAGATATAACAAACACAGAAATAAATAACACAAAATAAATTGTAACTATGTGTCGATTCCGCGCGACACATCCGAACATGTAAGCTGAACAATAGTGTGGAGGGAGTGAGTAATCAAGAGTTGCGTGGCGTTCAAACAAAAGACGAATCGACGAGATTTGAAAATCGCGTAACTCCGGGTTCGCGTAAGTCGGGGTAGCGTAAGTCGAAGTATTACTGTAATTATGTATATTATTCGTCATGTAAATGAAATGACTGTAAAAAACATAAACTTTTAAAAAATCAAGTGAGCTAATCATCTTGCCACTGACTGCAGCTGTCTTCTTTCTCTCACATATAGATTTTAATTTCAGAAATAATTTTAGAAATCATAATACACTAGACAAAATCGATATATTTCTGCTAATCTAATAAATAGAATATTGAGTTTATAATGTACGTTTAATAAGGTAGACATTCGATTACCCAGGATGCCATCGGGTATTTGTTAAAATACGGTTGGGTATGTAAATATTTTCATATAGTGATGTCTCACTATATGAATATTTTTATACGTTTTACATGGATAGAGTGTGGCAGCTGTAAACATAGATAAATGTCTAGGGATTACCGGCCCACCATTGGCCTAGCGGTCTTCGTACACTGAACACTGGGAGTTCGGTCGTGGGTTCGCGCCTCGCTCAGATGGGTTGGTCACATGAAGTTTTTCGGGTTTTCTCCACGTCTGTAAAGCCTAAATAAGGACCAGTTTCCCTTAAAAAGACCTCCCAGAAAACATCCCCCAGGCAGATCGCCCAAGTGTTCTGTTGCCATAACTTAACAAACAAACTAGGGTTTACCTAGAGTCCTACGTATGAAGGGATGGCTACGCTAAGCATCAATCTGCGGTGCAACGAATAAATGAATGCAAACTAAGTATGTCAACGGTCAGCGAAGTGTTTTTGGGGCTTGCTAAAACAGGCCATTATCGGGTTCACTAGGCACAGAATGGAACGACCAGATAGAAAAGTACTGACATGGATATAGACAGGTCATCTTTGAAAAAGTCTGGCAGGCAGAGACGTTTCATGATAATAGCGAGGTTGAGGCCGAAGTTTTAAACGCGAAAACGTGTACATCGGACGTTCAGCGCCGCTTTTCTGTAAGCCTAGAAGTTTGACAATAATGTTTGGAATGTTGAGCATGACTCCACTGACTATCCAAATACCATTATCAAACTTCTAGGCTTACAGGAAAGCGGCGCTGAACGTCCAATGTACACGTTTTAGCGTTTAAAACTTCGGTCTCAACCTCACTAATATTTATATGAGACTAGGTGACGAGTACTCAAAATGCCCTTCGGAGAAAAGGCAAACTAAGACTGTGATCTCCATATGAACCCGGTGGGAGAAGAATAGAATAGAGTACTCAAAACTGAATCCCGCTCTCGAGCCACTGCTGCAAACTGAAGCAGAAATCCATTTATTCGAAATTGTTTTTCCCATTCGCTCCCGAGTAATCGAGCGTCTACCGAAGTTTTTTTTTTTTAAATTGCATTCTTAAAGTTGTTTTTGTGAATTAATTTTGATTTAGATATCAGGATCTTCTTCCGATAAGGCTAGTGTCATTTTTCTTTTATTTGATCAAGAGTGCACCCTTATTTTATCAACAATGGCGAGAGATCTGGTTAGACAAACCCAAGGAGTTTCAAGCGGATGATAGCGAAGACGATACCGAAAGTAAATTTTTCTCGAATTTATAGAGGTAGAAATATCGAAAAAACAAATTTTCTGTAAGAATAATTAAGTTTAATCATTTATAAGTTAAAAATATGCATTAACAGAATTTAAAAGTGAATAAATTCTTTTGGATGAGGGCGAATTACCTGTTTTTGTGGGGCGGTAGACGTTCGGATGAGCCGGCACGACCCAAACCTATAGATGCCAGTGATTGTGAAAGTGGTATGTCAAAAATGGGAAAATATTGAATTTATTTCACAAACTATTTGTAAAACTTTACAATAACATAAAAAAATCTATTTTCCAAGAACTGTATGAAAGTGTAGTAAGCAATAAATTAGTGTTATCTTTTTTATGATGATAATATATATTTAATTTTTGCAAATTCAAAATATCTCCAAATGAAAGATGATTTACACCACTTTCATAATCATCAGCAATATATTAACACCTTTAGTCCGAGGCCTAATTAATTTCCTCTCGGAAAATTTTTAATCTATTGATTTTTTGTATTAAATAATTATTTACACTTAAAAGTGAATCTGACAGCCAAAAAAAATTGCCGTGAAATAAATACCCTCCAAAAAGTGTTTTTATAGAAACACTATATAAAAAAATTTAAAATAACAAGAAAAATGCTTTTATTTGATAAATATAGCTGCAGGGATTGTTATTCTTTATTTGACAGCGCCCGAAAATTCATATGTGCAGTCTACATTGTTTACAAACCAGTTTATCTTGAGAACAGCTGATGACTGCTTTCTCGGGGCATTCACATGTACGCCTCAGGTTAAGGGTAACTGTTTAAGGCAGGAAGGGAACTAGTTTACCACATATACAGTAGAGCGTCGTTTATCCGAAAGTCGGTTATCCGAAAGAATTCCAGTAGGCAGATTTAAATTTTCGCTAATGCTGTGGCCCTGCAATCTTTGGCTATATCTTGGGCTACTCCAATATTTTTTTTGTTGATGTGTGTGTTTTAGCTGACAGCACTGGCACTTTTGTGTGGTGTTTTTCTGAGGACTGGGTGTGGTGCTGATTCAAACGTTTTTGATACTAGATTAACTTCTAAAGTATAATTTTTTTGTTTTTATATTTTTCAAATTATTTATTTTGATTGTAAAAAATAAAGAAATAATTTTTAACGATACAATAGCCACGATTATTATTTTAAAAAGTTTACGTTAGGCTTAACATCGACGAAAATTCAATGCGAAGGGATACGCAACGAGAAAAATTTCAACATGGGATATTTTTTCGTACATAATCGGTTATCCGAAAAATAATTTATCCGAACAACCCCAGTCCCCAATTGATTCGGATAGACGATGCTCTACTGTATTCAAATAAACACAAAATCTCCAATTTTTATGCTATTAAAATATGGGGGAACAAAAAAAAAATATGTATAAAAAATTCTACTGAATAAAAAAACAAATAAACCTGCTGATGCCATAAAAACATCCAATAGTATTTTAAAAAATTTTACAGAAGTCAAATCGGTCCAATAGAAGATTAGAACGATTTAATTAATTTGATAAAAAGAACTCTAATAAAAAAAATACAGTAGAGCCTCGATTATCCGATCCAATTGGGGACTGGAGTTGGTCGGATAATTGAAAAGTCGGAAAACCGAAAAGTATGAAAAAATCCATTATTAGTGTAGTATATTATTATATCCCATGTAATTAGTATATTAGTATATTGCTATTAACCTACTTTGCGTTGAATTTTCATCGATGTTAAGCCTAACAAAAATTTTTTTAAAATAATAATCATCGCTATTGTATCGTTAAAAATTAGAAAATTAAGCCTCGTTTAAATACTGGCTCCCTTTCATGGTCGAATGAGTG